CAAAAAAAAAAAAAAAAAAAACAAAGAAGCTATTTGAAAAATCTTTTTTTGAATCTTTGGTTAAAAAAAAAAAAAGCTGAGAATTCTCACTTTCATTGCGTGAGTGTAGAAATGGTCAGAGTCATCTGTCTTGGGACACAACTGCCAATTACATGACCAACGGCAACATCGCCATTAAATGTGCTGGAGATGGATCCAGCCTCAGCTCTAATTAAACTGACACAGCGCCTGCACATCACTTCTTCTTTTTTTTTTTTTTCATTTGAGAGCCTTCAAACTGGGTGCAGATTGGGAAAAAAATGACAGTCAGTGTTAAGGCAGCCCCCACCCAAAAAAAAATCTGATTTGCTAATGAAGTATTCTGTGCATGCTGCGGTAACGCACACGGCGCTGGAATGCTGTTGGTTTTGCAAAACGTTGTCATGTGTTGACAGACAAGTGAACAACACCTGCTGGCGTCTCGGCTGCCGTATCACAACACACGTAAGTGAGATGTTGGTAGAGCGGACAAGAAAAAAAAAAACAATGTAGTGATGATACGGTAATCAATAAAAGAAAGAAGAAGAAATGTTTTGGTTGCCAAATGGCTTCTTTAATCATTAATGTAGCCTTGGTGCAACCTTTTTACTCATCAGTTCTGGCTGCAAGCCTCTAAAAACCATTTTAATAAGTCGGTGTTTCCTCTCATTTCAAAAGTTGAGGTGAAGCATTTTTAGATTTGATCTTCGCTTCCGGGGCACTTTTTTATGTGTTCGTCCTCCGTTTCTTATCACGGTTGCCTGAAAGAACTGCCCGCCCTTCCCATTAGACTCATTTCCAAATGAATCAGCGATGCAAGACAAGGAAAAAAAAAAAAAGCATTGAGCTTTGTCTGCATTGTCTCCAACTTAATTGCTTCACTCCCACACGGTCGAATGAAGACAAAATACGACATCGGTGTGTAGATAGCAATTACGGTGAAACTCTTCTTCATTGTCGGGCATGGCGTGATTTGTCAACGTCCCAAGCCGTCGTGAGTTCACTCGGAAGTGTAAAATTCACTCTGTTTGCTCACGTGTGTGAAGACGGAGGCTAAGCATGATTTTTAGGTGACAACACCATCAAATTGGAACTGAGCCGGCGCAAAAAAAAAAAAAAAAATGTCCTCCCTACATTTCCTGTCTTACTTTATCTCAAGCTTAATGGCCGTCAGTCGTTCCCGCCCGCCCGCCATTGTTATTTTTGCGCGGCTTCTGTCTCAGATTTCAAAAATCTCACTGAGGCACACAAACTTGAAAAGGTTGAGAAAGGAAACACCCTTTTGTTGTTGGCGTAGGCTGCTGCGCTTGTCGCTCTCTCCCACTCTCCTAGTCTCGTTCTCCTGTTCCGCGTTTCCACAGATCTTTTTGTCGGCTATAGCCGCTACATAATAAATGTCGAAATAATCCAAGTTTTGGGCTTGTGGAAGCGAAGCCTTTTGTTGAGAGTAGATGCATTATGTCTGGCAGAAACCTGCGCGCCAAACAACTGGAGAATTAGGGCAGAGTTGCCGTCAATCATGGGCAACACTGGGATTCAGGTCATTTTGCCGTTTTTGTCCGAAATAAAGTGCAGTACTGATTTTAATATCCCCAAAAGGACGGAATGTAAATAATCGACCAGGCAACAAGTTGGATGAGACGTATTTTTCTTATGAGCGATGAAAATTGAGGATGACGCCTTTTAAAATGCAACCTTAAATGTCACTCTTGCATCTCGGAAAGATGTGCGGCGGAGAAAATATTAAGTGAATTGCCATTAACATAAAAGGAAAAGGCAGTGTAAATTGAGGCTGGACAGGTTAGAATATTTTAATGTCTGATTAATCGTGTCTCAATGAACATGTTAGATTTTCAATCTCTGAACGACGCGACGTGTCAGTCGCGATAATACTTGCTGAAAATCACCGACAAGTTGGATCAAACACCACTGCTGACAGCGACTGAAGAAAAATGTGCTCACGGGAAATTTAATTAAATGAAGCCGCTTGCGACGATCTGTCTAGACATAGTCTGTGGATAGTTTGAGTCAATCCCCACCACCATGTTTGCAAAAAATAAAATAAAATAAATCCCGGTGTACTTGCAGCGGGCATTCAATCTTACTATGACTTCACAACTTTCCAACTAAATGGGGAACCATTTCCCATTTGGACCCTTAGGATCCAAACAGGTGATTTGTCAAACTTGCCTGCTTCAACCCCCCGAGGAGCTTGTCTGCCGGTTTGTCACCGCCTCTTCATCATCCAGCTGTTGTCTCATTGTATCGCTGCATAGCACATGATCCAACTGGGTTGGAAGTTGAAAGAAGCGTCACTGTGACGAAGGAAATCCATGCAAGGTCATTGTGTACGAATCGAACCGCACAACCACGGTGATTGTAAATTGGACCGGCAAATTGGTGCTGTTGTTAAATCCATCTTCTTTCATTTTAGGCAGCTGGCTAAAGTAACTCCTCTCCTTTCGCAAGAGCGCCTTGAAACAGTCATTCATGCCTTCGTCACATCCCGGCTGGATTACTGCAATGCACTTTACTTTGGAGTCAGCCAATCCTCCATTAAGCATCTCCAGTTGGTCCAAAATACTGCTGCTCACCTCTTGACTGGAACTCGTAAGAGGGAGCACATAACTCCTACTCTCGCATCCCGACACATTTTAGAGTTCTTTTGAAGATCCTATTATTTGTTTTCAAATCTTTAAAATCCCCTCTGGTGCAATTTGTGGTTTCCTGTCTGTGTCCATGTGGTCTTCAAATAGAATACCTTTCGTGATCTCGCATCCCAACCTTGTCTCGTATGCATTGAGGCGAAACCGATGCTCCACTGATTTGCAGTTTGTTTTTCCCAATTAGTTTTGTCAAGTCTTCTGCACCCAAATATAATACTCCCACCTTTGTCATGTTTTTTTGTTTTTTTGTTCCCCCTATTTCTAGCCTTGTACTAATTCGCCGTCAATGTACAGTGTAAGCATTTGCACTTGGTTCCGATAACGCAGCATTTACTGTATCTGATAAAAGTGTAACCAACTTAGTTTTCAAGCTGCTTTGAAAGTTTCGCTGACAGGGAGCCATCTGTTTGTGAAGCCCCTTTCCCCAAATGGAATATTTACCCTTGGGAGAAGACATGAAGCCAGTCGGGTTTGAAACATCCATCTGTGCTTATATTAGGCAGGTCATGGTTTGTTTAGCACGAATATGCTGCGCTAAAACATCTTCCCCGGCGAGGATCCTCTACGCCAGGGGTGTGCAAACTTTTTCGTTTGAGTGCCACATGCATAAAAATGGAAGGATGAAAGGGCCACTGTCAAATTCGGCAACATTTTGAAACACGCTCAAGCCAGTCAAGAAAGCAATGTTTGTATTGTCGAGTTCAAAAAAGTAAAAAGTTCTACAGTACATAAACAAATTTATGAGGAGCAATGGCACCTATTTTATCGACGCTCTCCCTTCTCACTCTGCCCACCTTCACCTTTTTTTAACCAACC